AAGGGCCCACAATGATAACAGGTCAAAATGTTAAAATTTTAGGATTGTGAAGTTTTTAATTTGGTACAGTGTACATAGGTTAGTCTCTCTCACAGACCCCGAAATAGAGGTTATCACAGGAGGCGTTAAGTACAGTGTTTATTCCTAATACATGATATTAAAAACTTATTGTTGTTCCCAATACAGGATATTTACCTTCACATAAGCGCGATAACCCCTTTTCATATAATGTCATTTCTAATTCTGTCGTCTAAAAAGCTGTTGTCATCTTTCACAAACAGAAACTAAACATTGCAAGTTTTCCTGGAATGTGCGCCTTAATATTCTATTACTAAAAGAAACGTAATACGGATATTTTTGGCCATGAAAGCAAAATTAGCGGACCAAGAGGTGCAAAATGAAGAGGTTTCATGTGCTATAGTGTCAGTGACAAATGTCCTGGATCAGAATGATCACAACAAGGACATGCAAACCATTAGACGGGAAACACGTACGATTCGGAAAAATGCAACCAGTGCATTAACAAAAGGGCCAAGCAACTGCACGCACTGCATGTGCAGCAGCACTATGAACGGTATTAAAGTGCATTTTTATTGCCTGGCATCTGCGTCAATCGAATAGTGACAGTTCAACAACATACCAAGATTAACAGAAGTGCAAAGAAACAACGTCAAAGGCCAGTTGCAGGCAGGGGAATCCCGATCAGCTGAAGCCAGGGTTTTCAATGTAGCGCCGAGCACCATCACAAGGCTATGGGATCGGTTTCAACAGCATGGGTCAACACGTGATCGGCCAAGGTCGGGACGACCAAGAGTAACTACCCCCGCCCAAGATCGCAACATCCGACTGCGCCAGACCCGTGAAGATTCCAGGGTAGAATAGGTCTTCAGCAACCCATGCTTGCCATAAACGGTGACTATGCTTCTCATAAAAGACAACTAACGGGATCGGATGGTCAGGCTCGCTGACTTGGTTGATGCATGTCGTCGATCCCAATTGCGTGGATCGATGGTCATGATATTAATCACTGGATTGTCTGGTCCAGACTCGGATATTTACAGACCGCCGTCATATAGCTGGAATATTGCTGAGTGCGGCGTTAAACAAGAAACAAACAAACAAACAAAGTATTTGAAGGTAGTGTCCTCTGGCAGTTTCCGCAGCAGTAACAAAGCGATCTTGAAGATGCTGTCGCACAATCTGACGATCCTGACGTCGAGTGGTGGCCCTTGGTCTTCCACGACGTGGTCGGTCATCTGTATTGTTGGTGGTCTGGTATCGTTGCTGGATCCTGTAAATTGTCCAGCTTGCAATCGTCCAAGGGCTTGGTGTCGCTGATTTCTTGTCAATCTTGGCGTGTGGTAGCAATTCAATAACGGATGAATGTTATCCGATCTCGGTGATTTTTTTATAGGGCAAGAAAGTGGGAACGCATGCGCATTTTAATTTGCACGGAACTCACGTGCGGGGATTACTATGGCCGTTGCCGTGATGCGTTTGGGCCATCAGTTTTATTGTCATCTGCTTTTTTTTTTCATCAAATTTAATTTTTCCGGACAATGTAATGTTAAATTTTAGAAACTTTGACAAAACTTACCCAGACATTTAGTTGACAATTTTTCATGCATTTTCATTGGGGTCACGCTTCTTTTGTGGTTCAGTATATGTATTTTGTATTTCTTGTGTGTGTTGGTGTTGGTGATGGTCGGGGAGAGGGTTCTTATGGGGAGGGGTTTAAGTTTAATAATATTTTCTGCTTGATGAATATGACTCTAGTTGGTAGAATAACACTTCACTACAAAAATAAAACCCAAAATAAGCCATTACAGACAAAGTGTTAGCCTAGCATTAACACAGCAGGAACATTTGTAGGTATCACGATTCAGCTAAATATAAACATGGGATTCCCATGAAATACCGCACATTCATCTGCCGTGTCAAAAAGTGTATGACATAAATGTCTCCTCAAGTGTCACATGGTATATACAGCAAACATGTCCGGCCAAGATGTGGGAAAGTAGGCAGAAAACCCACGACAGAACACGCGTGGAATATTGACCTCGACTCCTCCACACCCGACTTATGAACAGTTTTTAAATTAAATTGAGGTGCATATATTAAACAACGTATTGTTTCTGACTGATGTAGAGTTACATTACCATAACTGCCGACATCGATGACTACTACTACCACTACAACTACTACTACTACTACTACTACTACTACTACTACTACTACTACCACTACCACTACTACTACTACTACTATTACTACTACTACTACTGTTACTACTACAACTACAACTACTACTACTACTACAACAACTACTACTACTACTACTACTACTACTACTGCTACTATTACTACTACTACTACTACGACTACTACTACTACTACTACTACTACAACTACAACTACCACTACCACTACTACTTTTACTACTACTACTGCGCCTGCTACTACCACTACTTCTACTACTACTACTATACTACTATTACTACTACTACTGCTACCACTACTGCTACTACTACTACTACTACTACTACTACTATAACTACTACTACTGCTACCGCTACTACTACCACTACTACTACTACTACTACTACTACGACTACCACTGCTTCTACTACTACTACTACTACTACGACTACTACGACTACCACTGCTTCTACTACTACTACTACTACTAATACTAATACTACTACCACAACTACTACTACTACATCTGCTACTACTACTGCTACCACTACTACTACTACTACTACTACCACTAGTACTACTACTACTACTGCTCCTCCTCCTCCTTCTCCTACTACTACTACTACCACTACTACGGCCACTACTACCACCACTGCTACTACTGATACTGCTCCTCCTCCTCCTACTACTACTACTACTACTACTACTACTACTACTACCACTACTACGGCCACTACTACCACCACTACTACTACTGCTACTGCTACAACTACTGCTACAACCACAACTTTTCACCTCTACCACTACCACTGGTAGTCGGTAGAATAACACTTCACTACAAAAATATACCCCAAAATAAGTGTGATCCATTACCGTCAAAGTGTTAGCCTAGCATTAACACAGCAGGAACATTTGTAGGTATCACGATTCAGCCAAATATAAACATGGGATTCCCATGAATCGCCGCACATTCATCTGCCGTGTCAAAAAGTGTATGACATAAATGTCTCCTCCAGTGTCACATGGTATATACAGCAAACATGTCCTGCCAAGATGTGAGCTATGAGACACCGTTTTGGACATTTATAGCACAGCGTATTTACTTGAAAACATGATACATAAGCACATGATTTCCGAGACACTAGAATAGAAATATAATCATGATAAAATATAACATACTTGTAACCATGATGTATAGGCACATGGGTGTCATATATTTATTGTATTTACATATTTGTATACATGCGTGTGTGTGTGTGTGCGTGCGTGCGTGCGTGCGTGCGTGCGTGCGTGCGTGCGTGCGTGTGTGTGCTGACATGCAAGGAATCTCACAATACACATGTACCCACACACCTTCCCCCCTAAGAACTACAAACACACACACACAAACATATACACACACAAACTCTCTCTCACACACACACACACACTCACACACATACGTAAAATATCAAACATGACAAACCGTAACATATCTGTGGACACCTCACTCTAAAGTACCGCACCCACCAAACCCCGGGTGATTACAAAGCTACTCGTGAGGCGGGAAAGTAAGCAGAAAACCCACAACAAACCCGACAATAAAACAGTAGGTAATATTTTCCTTCCCGGAAAAAATCTTCAAGAAGTCCTCGTTCCGCACCACTGCCCCCACGGAAGGTGATACAACACGCGGGGAATACTGACCTTGAATCCTCCACACTCTTCTCATGGGCACCAGACTGCACAGTTTGCAAATTAAATTGAGGTGCATATATTAAACTACGTATTGTTTCTGACTGATGTAGAGTTACATTACCATTACTGCCGACATCGATGACTACTACTCCTCCTCCTCCTACTACTACTACTACTACTTTTCTACTACTACTACTACTACTTCTACTTTTCTACTACTACTACAACTACTACTACTACTACTACTACTACCACTGCTACTACTACTACTGCTACTACTACCACTGCTACTACTACTACTACTACTACTACTACTACCAATACTACTACTACTACTGCTACTACTACTACTACTACTACTACTACCACTGCTACTACTACTACTACCACTTCTACTACTACTACTACTACTACTACTACTACCACTACTACTACTTTTCACCTCTACTACTACCACTGATTTTACTACTTCTACTATGTCTACTACGACTGCTGCTGCTACTACTACTACTACCACTACTTCTTCCAAAATACTAACATCACTACTGACACTACTACTACTACTACTGCTACTACTACTACTACCACTGCTACTACTACTACTACTACCACTTCTACTACTACAAATACTACCACTACTACTACTTTTCACCTCTACCACTACCACTGATTTTACTACTTCTACTATGTCTACTACGACTGCTGCTGCTACTACTACTACCACTACTTCTTCCAAAATACTAACATCACTACTGACACTACTACTACTACTACTACTACTATTACTACTTCTGCTACTTGACTCGAGTATACCTGGAATATTGCTGAGTGTGGCGTTAAACAACAAACAAACTTCTACTAAATATGTACTTTTCTCTGCAACGATAATTGTAGTACATGTCAAAAACATATCCCTTGAAGAGGACGGCGAAAACAAAAAAAATGTCGGGCATGGTCGCGGTGAGGTAAACACAATCGGACCTCAGATTTTCGCATGTACAACCTGCTGTTACAGCAGTTATCCCCCTTAGCATTATTATATAGGAACACCCTCCCTTTTGCTTCGGCGTGTGTGTAGATCATACAGTCCAACTAATGCGTGTTTCCATACAGGTTCCCAGAAGGGGCGCCCCATACCGGATATTCATATGTTCAATCGCTGGAAAACAAGTGGCATCTTGGCAGTCCACAGCAACAGGACACACGTGGAGTAGATGCTGTATAACACACACATTCATGACGTGTTCAGGTAAGTCATATTGAGTACATTTATTTACATATAGATTTAGGCAAATGTGCCCGTACCAGTTCAGCGCAGGTACACACGTGCCGAGTTCTAACGCTAAGATATAAGGGGAACGTTTTATCATCTTAAATTAGGCCATATATGTTATGCAACATACACTGAATACATGATTGTACCTGTATATTAAGCCTAACATTTAGTATATGAAATCATGTTATATTACACAATACCCTTCCCGACTCTACAATTAAACAAATAAGTATCCCGATGCTAATTTTATATGTGGTATAGAGCTAGTAGCTAGCTTGACTATCGTATCCTACAAGTATTAACTGTACGTTGTTGCTCCTAGTCAAATTAAGGATAAGTTAAAGGATAATGGCCTGAGGGATATTCGAACGGGTATGTTGCTTGAAAAAAATTAATTAAATTATAACGTGCATATTCAACTTCTATAACTTAGATATATTGTTGTTATAAAAAGACTATCCTGTTTTACGTTGCAACCATCAATTGATTAAATTCTCGCTACTGACATTGGATATTATGTTAATACTGGTACAAACACGCATACTCGGTGATAGTTGTATTCCCCTCAAAAGAATGTTTGAGAGTGCGTTAGAAGGGGTTTACTCAACAATAGCCCAGCAAGTCCTGCATGGTGTGTGCCGATTGTGGAATGACTGCTGTATGTGTATGTATTCAGAATGAGAGTATCTCTGTGGGTACATGTGTATGTAGTCGGAATGGGAGTATCTCTGTGGGTACATGTGTATGTAGTCGGAATGGGAGTATCTCTGTGGGTACATGTGTATGTATTCAGAATGGGAGTATCTCTGTGGGTACATGTGTATGTATTCAGAATGGGATTATCTCTGTGGGTACATGTGTATGTATTCAGAATGGGAGTATCTCTGTGGGTACATGTGTATGTATTCAGAATGGGAGTATCTCTGTGGGTACATGTGTATGTATTCAGAATGGGATTATCTCTGTGGGTACATGTGTATGTATTCAGAATGGGAGTATCTCTGTGGGTACATGTGTATGTATTCAGAATGGGAGTATCTCTGTGGGTACATGTGTATGTATTCAGAATGGGAGTATCTCTGGGGGTACATGTGTATGTATTCAGAATGGGATTATCTCTGTGGGTACATGTGTATGTATTCAGAATGGGAGTATCTCTGTGGGTACATGTGTATGTATTCAGAATGGGAGTATCTGTGGGTACATGTGTATGTATTCAGAATGGGATTATCTCTGTGGGTACATGTGTATGTATTCAGAATGGGAGTATCTCTGTGGGTACATGTGTATGTATTCAGAATGGGAGTATCTCTGTGGGTACATGTGTATGTATTCAGAATGGGAGTATCTCTGTGGGTACATGTGTATGTATTCAGAATGGGATTATCTCTGTGGGTACATGTGTATGTATTCAGAATGGGAGTATCTCTGTGGGTACATGTGTATGTATTCAGAATGGGAGTATCTCTGTGGGTACATGTGTATGTATTCAGAATGGGAGTATCTCTGTGGGTACATGTGTATGTATTCAGAATGGGAGTATCTCTGTGGGTACATGTGCACGTGTATGTAGTCAGAATGGGAGTATCTCTGTGGGTACATGTGTATGTATTCAGAATGGGAGTATCTCTGTGGGTACATGTGTATGTATTCAGAATGGGAGTATCTCTGTGGGTACATGTGCACGTGTATGTATTCAGAATGGGAGTATCTCTGTGGGTACATGTGTATGTATTCAGAATGGGAGTATCTCTGTGGGTACATGTGTATGTATTCAGAATGGGAGTATCTCTGTGGGTACATGTGTATGTATTCAGAATGGGAGTATCTCTGTGGGTACATGTGCACGTGTATGTAGTCAGAATGGGAGTATCTCTGTGGGTACATGTGTATGTATTCAGAATGGGAGTATCTCTGTGGGTACATGTGTATGTAGTCAGAATGGGAGTATCTCTGTGGGTACATGTGTATGTATTCAGAATGGGAGTATCTCTGTGGGTACATGTGCACGTGTATGTAGTCAGAATGGGAGTATCTCTGTGGGTACATGTGTATGTAGTCAGAATGGGAGTATCTCTGTGGGTACATGTGTATGTAGTCGGAATGGGAGTATCTCTGTGGGTACATGTGTATGTAGTCAGAATGGGAGTATCTCTGTGGGTACATGTGTATGTATTCAGAATGGGAGTATCTCTGTGGGTACATGTGTATGTATTCAGAATGGGAGTATCTCTGTGGGTACATGTGTATGTAGTCGGAATGGGAGTATCTCTGTGGGTACATGTGTATGTAGTCAGAATGGGAGTATCTCTGTGGGTACATGTGTATGTATTCAGAATGGGTGTATCTCTGTGGGTACATGTGTATGTATTCAGAATGGGAGTATCTCTGTGGGTACATGTGTATGTATTCAGAATGGGAGTATCTCTGTGGGTACATGTGTATGTAGTCGGAATGGGAGTATCTCTGTGGGTACATGTGTATGTAGTCAGAATGGGAGTATCTCTGTGGGTACATGTGTATGTATTCAGAATGGGAGTATCTCTGTGGGTACATGTGTATGTAGTCAGAATGGGAGTATCTCTGTGGGTACATGTGTATGTATTCAGAATGGGAGTATCTCTGTGGGTACATGTGTATGTATTCAGAATGGGAGTATCTCTGTGGGTACATGTGTATGTATTCAGAATGGGAGTATCTCTGTGGGTACATGTGTATGTAGTCAGAATGGGAGTATCTCTGTGGGTACATGTGTATGTATTCAGAATGGGAGTATCTCTGTGGGTACATGTGTATGTATTCAGAATGGGAGTATCTCTGTGGGTACATGTGTATGTAGTCGGAATGGGAGTATCTCTGTGGGTACATGTGTATGTAGTCAGAATGGGAGTATCTCTGTGGGTACATGTGTATGTATTCAGAATGGGAGTATCTCTGTGGGTACATGTGTTGGGTGTAGTGAGGGGAGGATATATGTGGTCGTATCTTACTGTACATGTTCAACATTCTTATGTACATTTTACTGACCTTTTTTTAAAAGCGTCTCTTTGGCTTTTGAAGCACTTCATAACTATTTTATCATATGTAATCTTACAACTGTACAATATCTGTATCAGTCCTTACCAACAATGATGATGATGATGATGATGATGACACTACTACTACCTTTACTACTACTAATAAGGATGAGGATGACGACGACGATGATTAAGGTGGCGATAACAACAACAATAATAATAATGATGACGACGACGATGACGACGACGACGATGATGATAAAAAACAAACAAAATAATTGAAATACGTTTCAAAAGCATATTTGGAGTGCATTTTACGATCCATAACTAACGCTGAAGAACGACGGAGAAACTTGACAGAGACGGCCCTCGCTGTCATCTGTGAAACATTCCACAAAGATGGCGTCACATGACCGTCACGGTTTCTGGTTCAAGGGGGGACATTCAGGAAGTATCGAGTTGCGTGGTGTGTGTCGACAGAGCTGACTTGTTCTACCGCCCCACTTAACAGGCCCGACGAAGAAGAGGCTCAGGTTTTTCAGTAAACGGTAGATTAAAAAAACCATGATAAATTGCACAACACAATGGAAACCTTGCTGGTAAAGAATGAGAATGAGGCGACGAAGTGGATGTTGGGAGGCTAGGGTTATTAATTGTTGTGGCCGGTCATCTGGTCAGTGGGACACATAAACAAAATTGGTTTAATCCCCCCCCCCCCCCCCCCCCCCCCCCCCCCAAAAAAAAAAACCAAAAAAAAAAACCAAAAAAACCAAAAAAACTCTCCACCCTAGACCACGCTGCCCCAACCCCACCGTTGAGCCCCACCCATAAAAAAACCGGACATAGGTTAAGAATGTAAAAACTACTTGTAACTGAGAAACACCTGTATGACATAGGGACTGGGCTTGTATAAAAGGCGGGGATTGTGTGTGTGTGTGTTTTCGTGTGTGCGTGTGCGCACTTGCGTGCGTGCGTGCGTTCGCGCGCAGGGGGCTTTGATCCCATTTAATGGATATATTTTTTTATTAACTAACTTGATAATATAAATAAATATTTTAATAAATAAATGAATAAATAAATAAATAAATAAATAAATAAATAAATAAATAAATAAATGTCCAATCCCTATTCAAATATATAATTGTTTTATTAAAATGTCATTTTTTTATGACCCCCTCCCTCCCCTTCGATGAATTACCACTCCCAGATAAACTGTAATCTGCTTCGACATTATCTCTTGTCAGGAATTCAAAAGATAGTTTAACAGTGCACCTCATTCTTATCGTGACATGGTCAAGGGTCAAATGGCCAGTCCGTCACCAAACACCGGTCACGTGTCAAACAGTGAAAACGGAGTTGCCAATGTGATCACATGACTGAGGTTAACCATGCCATATTTGGTAATCCATACTTTGAAACATATTTGGTTGATTATACTCAGAAAAGAGCTTTGGGTTTGAGAAGGTATATATTGGTACTAAGCTTATGGACTAATCATTGAGGCTGCTATGTACGTTTTAACTTGTCAAAGTGCTTTTCCCGATCGTTCCTTCAGACATGTTTGTGTCATGTGACACATAAGTTTATATACATAAGAAACACATCTTTGTTTATTCGCCGTTATTATCAATGTGAATGAGGGTGTTGTGTTAACGCATGACAGGGTATCTATCTCCCCGCGGCATTGTATGAGCTGAACTATTTTATGAAAGATAAGATAATATTTATTGCAGAAACGTTCCATTACGGGACAGATGCAATTTTAAAAGACAAGACATTATGAAATAAGAAAGACATTCACATGTACGTTCTCACGCAATACGACGATTAAGGGATAGTTTAAATATATTAACATTGATGAAGCGCAATTAATGGTTGATTGAACATGTACATGAATACATTGTTGTCTGAGAGACATTAAACAAACACGAGGGTTGTGGAATTAATGCGTTTATT